AACACGACATGGGACTTATCCCTGTGGCTGGTTGCATGGTAATAAGCGTGACTAGTCCCTCCGTGTTTGCCGAACTTTATGTTAAAAAAGTTGTAGCTAGCCATGGTTAACTTTTTAGTACCTTTTTTTTTTTTGAAAGGTTAGCTTAAGTACATAGCCAACCTTTAATACGTTTTGGTACAGCTATCGAACATGTTTATTGTAGTTCTTCTTACCGTCTGGCCTTGCTGTTCTTTTTATAGGCTTATGTTAGGGAATAAATAGTAAACGTTGCTATTGGATGATTGTTTGTTTCGTGATGTTTTACTTCTATCTTACATCTGCATGATACAAGACCTAATTAATCATGATCATCCCCCTCTTCTTATTCCCACTCGAACGAGTTCTCTGTCTGGGAAGCCGGTTACATCAAGCACATCACTTCCTATTTTATTGTCTGTATGTGTAAAACATCCATTCTGTGACCTACTGATTTAGTTGAAAACGGATCACATCAAGTTTGTACTTATGTAATAGTTACAAACGTTTAATTTAGCTGGCAGAATTAAAAAAAACAAAATTCTGGACATTTTCTCCTTTCCTTATTGACTGGAGCCGTTATCGGGAACGAAAACTGTATTTGTTCCACGCGTCTCTATAACATTAATCCTATCCCATTTCTTGTAAATTTGGTGCTATTGTTAAATATCATGCTGTAATTCGTGCGTTGCGCAAAGAGATATTGTTAAACGAAATTTAAACAAAAATGTCGCCTTTTGTTGACGAAGAACATATAGTGTTGTTTTACTTAAATTACTTTGCAGACTTCTTCCAGGGGAAATGTCATTTAAATGAATGTACTTTACACTGAATGATGTGCTTTTCTATTCTTTTCTTGTAAGTGCGACGAATTCGCTTGAAGTAGCTGAGTAGTAAGTAAAAACTATAACTATACCAACTATAACTATAACACAAGCAAATATCTAAAAACAAACTCTTATGTTGCGAGTGTAGTTCTTGTAGCTCAAGTGGTCCCTTAAGAATGAATGAGAAAAGGAGGCAGTCCCGCATCAAGCAATTAAGCAAGAACCTAACGCGGTTCGTCAATACTTGGGGTGAATGATGCGTCGTCTATACTGACCCATTTATCAATCAACCCGTTTCATGACTGCTACACAGAATCGAAAACGACGTGCGGTTTCGAATTTTTTTACACGGGACATATTAAACCGTTTTCCGGTGTTTTGCAATGAGATTGTTTAAGCAAGCGTTGCACTCCGTGGTGGCTCATCATGTTTACTCTTCGCCAGCCAATTTGTGCCAAAAGATGTAACCGTTTTCAAGACGATGCGGTCTCGCCGTTTAAACGACGAACGGAACCGAATCGTTTTGAAAATGTCCCTCTGCTGATAACGTTTTCAAAACGAGTCGCCACTAGTGGTCTCTATTGGCGCCGTCAATACGAAAGGCGAAATGTCATCGAAAGCTATGCGGTTACAAATAAACCCTGTCTGTGTTAACAGTGCCCGAGGTATGCCTTCTCTACTTTAGCCACTTATGCGTGGTCCAATAACTTTTATACCTCTTCATTCACTGGGGAAAAAAAAAAAAAAGAATGCTTGTATTCTAACCAGTTACATCAAGTTTTTATGATCTCTTACTCAGAGGGTAGATCACGTGTTTTATAACTTCAGTTTCAAGGCACACGGATGATTTAAGAATATAAAAGCACTAAAGGGCATTATCCATCAAAGTATTTAAGCTCAAAAAGTAATAAAAAAACAACGAAAGACTCAATGAAACAACGCAAACCTTAGTTCACAAAAGAGGACGATGAAAGGTTTCAAATTAGTCTAAAAATAACAAAATCAGAGAAAGATATTTAATTTTTTTGTTCCTTTAGAGCATGTCACTTGTCAGATCTATCCTCTTTTGTGCTTAAATGTCATCAAATCATCGTATTTTGTTAAAAAAGAACACTTTGTCACCGTAAAAAATATTTCAGATTGACGGGGGCTTGGATGGATACTATTTTTTCGTAAATGACCTTCAGAATTTGCCAAACCCGAAAATTTATTCGTTTTTTTGGGTCTTTGTACCTACGATTGAGTATTTGCTACGTTGGTCGGATAAAACG